GGGAGGCGAGGCTTGAAGAGCATATTAGCGAAATTGACCGGAAAGCTTCAAACTTGGGAGATCAGGTCGCTGTACTCGAGGCTGAAAAGGTACAATTGTTGGCCCAAGTTGAATCTTCCTCTACCGTTGTTCCTCGCCACTTGAACGAACATTGGGTTCATGCCGAGGCTCAACAGGACATATATAAGAGTTTTTGGGAGGCAATCAATATTTCTAAGGCCGTTTATGAAGGAGCCTGGACAAAGGCACGAGAGGCTCGTGTCAACTGCTGCTACGACCATGTGACACCAGAGGCCGGCGAGGATGCTGATGTTGAGGAGAAATTTCTTGGAGATAATTATAGGGAGAATGGCGGTGATGACGCCGAGTGAAAAGTTGTTGCCTTAGTATATGCTTTTTGTTTTGTTTTTTCTTTCTCTTTTTTAAAAAAAAAATTATATTGGGCCTGTTTTGGCCATGTGTAAGGTGCGACCGTTGCACACGTATATAAATAAAAGGGTTGTTTCGTCGTTGTACGTCCTTTGAATTTCTCTCCCTTCCCCTTGCTTTTCATTTTTTGTTTTGGCGTAGACCTTCGAATTTTTGTAAGGTGAATCCTTGGGTTCTCGTTTTAGGAATTCGATTTTAACCGGACCGAGTAGGGTCTCATCGTGTGAGTCCAAATGGAGTTTCTTCGAGTTTGCATATTTGGGTGAGATTGACTTTTAATTTTTTGCTTTAGGCGGAATCACCTCTGATTCAAACGAGGTTGAACTCAGATGCGTTGTTTCGGACTAAGTCGGTTTCAACTTGAATCATTCGAGGGGGATTGAACTCACTTGCTGATTTAGGCGAAGTTGACTTTTTTATATGTATTCGAGCGAGGTCGAACTTGGAACTTGGAGTGAAATCAATTTCTGACTCATTTGGACAAGTTTGAAAAACAAAAATTTTTGTTTGACGATGACTGGTGGCCACCAAGGCGTTATTTCGAGTAAGACCGAAATGTCAATCCGCATAATTTGAGCGAGGTCAAAATTTTCTTTTGGCAATGGCCTCTGTCCGTAGGGGTGTTATTTCGAGTTAAGGTCGAAATTTTAACCCGTTGTGATTCGAGCGGGGTCAAATCCTTTTTTTGGCGATAGCCCTTGGCCGTAGCGGTGTTATTTTGAGTTAAGGTCAAAATTTTAACCCGTTGTGATTCGAGCGAGGTTGAATCCTTCTTTTGGCGATGACCCTTGGCCGTAGGAGTATTATTTCGAGTTAAGGTCAAAATTTTAACCCATTGTCATTCGAGCGAGGTCGAATCTTTATTTTGGCGATGGCCTTTGGCCGTATGAGTGTTATTTCGAGTTAAGGTCAAAATTTTAACCCGTTGTGATTCGAACGAGGTTGAATCCTTCTTTTGGTGATGGCCCTTGGCCATAGGGGTGTTATTTCGAGTTAAGGTCAAAATTTTAACCCGTTGTGATTTGAGCGAGGTCGAATCCTTCTTTTGGCGATGGACCTCGACCGTAGGGGCGTTATTTTGATTTAAGGTCAAAATTTTAACCTGTTGTTTCATTGTTAGATTTTAGAGAATCACAGGTCATCGTATTGTTTGTGTATACGTCGGGGTAGATCCTGGCGTACTCAGTTTTATTTTTTCTGGAGAATATTGGGAGTTCCCTGGGGGAGTCCCAGTTTTGCTTAGCTTCTGCCTTTCGTGGGCAAGTCCCAGTTGCTCAATTTTACTTGCATTGGAGAATACGATGCGTTTCCTAGGTGAGTCCCAGTTTGCTTAATTTTGCTTGCATTAGAGAATACCTTGATGGGGAGTACATAATGTTGATGTTTCACTCACTAGAGAATGCTATACATGTTCGTTTCATACATATATTGGAGAAGTTCCCATGTATCTAGTCCCTTCATCGCCCGTTCTGGGGAAGTAGTCAACATGAGGGGTGATGAATCATACTTAAAATTCGAGACATCCCCTTCATCGCCCCCATTAAAAACTTCCCCGAGAACCCAATTGGGGACGAAAACCGAGTGAGGGAAAAAGAGTACGACTTGAGGGGTGTTCTTTTTCAGAAGTTGAAGTACTTGAGGTGGACGACATTTCAATTATTTTATAGTGGTTTTCCTTCCATTGTTTCCAGTTGGAATGCTCCTTTTCTCGCTTGCCCGTGCGGGCGCTCGCGTTCCTGTAAACCAACATAGGGTAAACCAAAATGAAATTTTCCGTACCTCGATCCAACAGGTCGGCGAAGGGGGGCGGTGTTGTAGCGTTGCTCGCTTTTCCTAGTGTTCGAATAGTTGATGGAATGGTGGTTTTAGATTTGGCAGTTGTGTTCAGCTCCATTTTTAACAGCATCTAAGCTTTGCGCGGGTTGGGCCCACCTCACTTGATGTAGTGTTGACATCGAGTCACGGTCTGATATCGTTCGATTTGTACCCACAACAAGGGAGACATGTCATACTTCGTTCATGGACCATCCGATGTGTGGGAGAATGTGAAAGTAGGGTAGGATGCACCCATTCTTTCAAAGGACCACGCAACAAGCTGTCGTTCTATCGCGAAAGGGTGGGAACGCAGGTTAATGTACAAGGTGAATGTGTCAAATGGGGATGTGGTTATGCCAGATGACCGTGATCCTATTTTGAACGTGCGTACATCATGCTAAACCTATCGCTACAGGCGAATGTGGGTTTTGCGTAGATATTGGTTATAACTTCTACTTTTATGTAGCAGCCTGACCTAGATTAGCATGTAAGGTTTATTTACCACTCTCTCGAGTGGGTGGTTGCATTTTGCCGGTTCTAGATCTGAAGGAAACTAAGAAATTACCACAGACGACGCCAGATTATTTGAGCAAAAAGTTTAAAACTCTTTTGTTGAACTAATTATTGATAATAAAGAAGGTAAATCTTGACCAAACATATTTAATTTCAGATCGAAGCATATAAAGTGCGAAATGAAAGAAGAGTAAGAATGTATAAGATTTATTAATGTGATAATCGTACATCAAACATGAGAGATGAGCTTACATCCAGAGCATAGATGCATCATAATCATGGGAGCAAAGAAAGGGAAAGGAGGTAACTGTTGATAAACAAAAGATTCCTCTTGATTCCTCTATTGTGGTTGCTCTCCTGCGAAAAATCCCTCTTCTTCTGTAAGCTCTCTCCCTATATATATAGTTCCTTTCCCTTTTATCCAATGGTATTTGACCGATGTACTTTCTTATGACTGTACCTTTCATCGTCTGCTCGAACACAATGCTTGTTCTATGATGTACGCTTTCTGAAAATTTGACCCCGACGATGGCCGATGTGCTCTTTGCTATCTCGCCCCACAGGCATAATTACAGCTTGGTCGACCCCTTATCATTCCTCTTGAGGACCACCACTACACTCAGATTTTGACCTATACAGTTAGTAAATAAAAATGCACTTTATCAAGCAATTTAAGTTTTTGGACGATATGATCACACACTTCAATAGAGGTTATGGTTTCGAGTCTCACTCCCACTCTTATAGAAAAAATCGACATGCTTGGCTTAATAAATAAATAAAATCAAACCCCCATGAGCGAGGGCGTATTAAAAATATAATCACGCAAATAAAAATATGCTTACTTTAATAACTTACATTTTTAGATAAAATGATCACACATTCCATTAGTGTGAAGTCGGGCTCTAAGTTGGAATTTCATTGAAACTAAAGTTCAAAAAGACATATAAATGAGTCTTGAAGTTAAGATTTGGCAAGCCCAATTAGACCCGTATATTCGAAACTCTGTCAACTCGATCATGTAGGGTCTAATAGCCCATTTGGCCAAACTGTAAAAATTAGTTTATTTTGAGAAATGTTTTTTCTTAAAAGTACTTTTTAGTAGTTTGTGTTTGGTTAATTTATGTGAAAAGTACTTCTGAGCAACAATTAATGTTTGACCAAATTTTTAAAAATTTCTTTTAAGTGTATTTTTCTTAAAAATGCTTTTCAAAAAAGTGTTTTTCGAGAGAAGCTACTTTTTTTCTGCTTCTGCTTCTACTCAGAAGCAATTTTTTTCATCTAAAAGTTTGGCCAAATACTTCAACTTTGGGAAAAAAGTGATTTTGGCTTGGAGAAGCTTGGCCAAACAGGCTATAAAGTTGATTCTCACACGACTAATAGCTTGTTTGGCCAAGCTGGTCAAATCAGCTTATTTTGAAAAGTGTTTTTTCAAAAGTACTTTTGATGAAAAATAATTTGTGTTTGGCTAATTAATTTGAAAAGCACTTATGAGCAACAATTAATGTTTGACCAAACTATTAAAAAGTGCTTTTAAGTGTATTTTTCTCAAAAGTGCTTCTGGGAAGAAGCTACTTTTTTTTTGTTTCTCCAAAACTGTTTCTACTCAAAAATACTTTTTTTCTTCTAAAAGCTTGGCCAAACACTTTAACTTAGGAGAAAAGAAATGTTTAAAAAAAACAACTTTTCAGCTTGTAGAAACTTGGCCAAACATGCTATAAATAAATAGCAAATATTTTGTAATTTTTGACTATGAGAGTGTTTGGCTAAGCTTATAAGCTGATCAAACTGGCTTATAAGTACTTTTTGGCTTATCTACGCCTTTGGTAAAATTAAAAGTGCTTATAAGTTAACTGCTTATAAGCCAAAAGTCATAAGTTGGTCTCCCCCAACTTATCAAATTTCAGCTTATAAGCACTTTAGGTTTGACCAAAATATTTACTATTCTATCTCTAAAATACTTCTTTTTAAAATAAAATTCTTCGTATACCCAATTCTTCAACTGCTTATTATTAATTTCAGCACTTTTATCCAACGTAACTGCTTATTTTTTAAATCAGCTTCAGCACTTAAAAGTGCTTATCAACACCTAATGCTTATCAGCTACTCTAAATCAGCTAAGTCAAACGGACTCTATATCTAAATAATGGTCCTTCACATGGCTATCTGTGCACTTACGGCGATTTACTAAAATAGCCTTGAAAGTTGGTAGTCTTGAACTTTTCCCTTTTACCCCATTGCTTGAAGGTTGCCCATGGAGCAAACAGGGACAAAAGGTTACCCATGACATAAGAGAAGGGGGAAAAAATTCAATACCGCTATTGAGATATCAGCAATTTTTTGGTGCACTTGCCCGCTTGAACACCCCTATTTAAACAAAAGATAAAACGGTAGTATTCAGAGCCTTGGAGGAGGATTTTTAGCGCAGTTTGCCATACATATGAGCTTCGGGGCAAAATAGCAGTTTGTAAAATTCGAAAGGATCTGAATGCTAAAATTGAATATTTGGTCTTCGACCGCAAAATAGGCACCGCCGCTTACTCGTCCCCTACTCTCACTAATAACTGGAGTTGTTTACATTGCAGGTATGCGATGTTCACTCATCCCTATGTAATTTATTTTTTCAGTTGTAAAAGTTCGAAACTTGGGAAATTGTTCAAGTTTGTGTAAATTTGATTTACATAATGGAGGAAACAACAGGAATTATGTGCTATAATTTGGTGCTTATCTGGTTGTCGAGCATAATTTAACTGTTTTTTTCTTATTTTATTTTATTTTTCATTTTATCCGAATTCCTTTTATTGAGCAACTCTTTTACTGCTGTCAGCCTATTTGGGAAGTGCTAGTAAGGTTCTCTTAAACCTAGAGGAGAGGCAAAACAGAAATGTTCGGAGACCAATATTCTAGGAAAAGATGTTTTCAAATCATCAAATGGGTTACATGGAATGTTGTTGCTGTAGGAAAATGGAACCACTTTTAATGGTAAACTTATAGTATTTGTTTGCTAATAGGAAACATGCTTCCCAATAGGATGATTGCTACGTTTTCGGAAGGGGCCAGGAGTATAGTGCGTTAGAAAGATTCCTGTCGTTGGAGCTGCATATAAGTAAATGGATGGCATATTTGGATAATAAGCTGAACAAAGTATGTTTGAAGCTTCGTTTAGATGTATCGCGTGAGAGGTTAGATAAGCTTATTACTTATTTGGGTGATAAATGATGGGACTTGGGAGTTTTAAGACTCTGAATAGAGAAAATAAGGTTCTTATTCCAACCACTTTCCGACCGGAGGACTTAGCTCAGCTATGAGCTAATGTATCAACCGCTCACTTTCCTTAAAATATTTGATATTATGATGGATCACACCATCCATCAAGTGTGTTTTGAATTAAGTAAAACCCTATAGTCAATGACTTCAACTCAGAGAGGAGTTACAACATTTCTAAGATGGGAGAATTCCCTATTGAAATGTGAGGAGTGGGATTATACTAGAGAGAAGATTCACAACAGAAATAGTGTTTGCCCCAGGGTTTTGGTCTAATGATAAGAGTGCATTGCTTGATCTGTGGGTTATGTGCAGTCACGAGTTCAAATCGTGCCACAAACAACAACCTGATATTTAAGTGAGAAGGGTAGAGGGATGTGCTTACTATCTACAAGTTTCAAACCGAGAGCCACTAGCCCTTGGGAATTTCTCGGTTATAAAAGAAGTGCTTATTATTCTTTAGCCTGAGGAAGCATGCAGTAGACTAACACTCCTCCTTTTACTTTATTTTGTTCTTTTGGTTCAGAATATGTGAAATTGCTCGTGATTGGACGCTTAGGTTTGTAGCATGTTATGAAAAACAAAAGCACAAGGCAAGGTGTATGCCTAAAGGCTTGAGGTGAACGTATTTAAGAGATTATTATTCTTAGTGTATTAAATAGATAAATATGATCTAAAAATACAGAATTGATAAGAAATATAAGGGGAAAGAAAATAGATAGAGGATAAAGAAAACAGAAGAAAGAATGAATAGATGTCGTGGTTGACTGCAATTTCATATACGAGCACCAATTCTCAAAAAAAAGAGAGGGAAAAAATGAATACACTATACGAGCACAGGGTGTTATCAGTGGAGAATCTACTCTCAAAAAGGAATTTGGGGGGGTGGGGGGTGGGGAGGTAGAGGCTACAAAATCCCCGGCTTCACCTATGAGTGTGTTCATATTTCTAAATATAATAATTAAGCTAGACAAATCTATTTGGATTGTAATTTCTTAAATCCAAAAACTGAAAATTCAAACCAAACTTTTCATATCCAAGCTGAACTGCCTGAACACCTACCCCTACTTCTTATGCGTCTGTAGATTTTAAGGAGTTTATCTGACAATATGACAATTTTTTGGGGAGTATTAACATTTTCTGAATTTTGGATGATTTCCATTATTAGTATTTATTACCAATGTTGAATTTCATTGTCCTATTCTTTCACTAACACACACTATTGTTGGCGAACAGGCTGTTTAGGTTCCAAGTTTTTGTTAGCATTCTTAGGCTAATAACTTGTGGCTCTTGAGGCATAATCTTGGCATTGACACATCTCCTTTACAGGGCTCCCTTCTCTTAAAATGCTTCAATCTCTGCATAAATGCCAAAGACACTTGTGTACAAAGATCAGGATAAGCAGCGTCTTCGTGCAGTTTGTGTCAACTAACTGTAGCAGCAACATCACAAATGACGAGAGCAAGTCACTCATTAGCTTGTGTCGCAGGAAGTCACATGGTTTATCAAAAGAAACCATCATTAGTGAAGCAAAAATAGTCCAATTAGACACTCATGCATGTTTAGAAGTTTCAGCTGTAGTTGACTTCTTCCAAAACCATGGGTTTTCTGCAACCCAAGTGAAGAAAATAGTTAGAATGCGCCCTCGTTTATTAGCATCAAAGGTGGACAAAACCCTAAAGCCCAAGTTGAAGTTCTTGCAATCAATTGGCTTTTCTGAAGATGAATGCAGTAAGATTATCTGTTATAACCCCAACATACTCCTCAGTAGCATAAGGAAACTACTGACTCCATCCTTTGATTCCCTGAAGACTTTCATGGGTAGTAAAGTGCAAGCAATGGATGCCGTCAGACGAAGTCCACAAATCCTTAGTCGTAAGATCTCTCATAATTGGAAGCAGACTGTACAGGTATTACACCAAATTGGTATTCCTGATTCTCAAGTTTCAGAGTTTATTTTCAAATCTCCAATTATCTTGACCATAAATCCCAAAAAAATGAGTGCGGTTGGCTTGAGACTCAAGGAAATGGGGTTTGATGTTACTTCTCCAGCGTTTAGGATAGCTTTTACCACAATGTCGAAAGTTAGTCACTCCAATCTGGAAAGGAAATTGGAAACCTACAGAAGTGTGGGCTTTTCAGACGACGAGATCCTTAATATTTTCAGATCACAGCCGACTTGCATGTTTTATACTGAGGAGAATATCAGGTCACTTGTGGCATTCTATGTTGATAGACTCCATTTGAGCCCGTCACACCTGTCACAAAGACCGGCTTTTCTATTGCGTAGCCTGAAAAGGAGGGTTATTCCAAGGTGTTCTGTCATGCAAGTTTTATGGTCAAGAGGCATTGTTCCAGAAGCTGGCAAGCTATCCACTATATTAATGATTAGGGAAAAGTACTTCTTACAGAAGTATGTTACCAGATATGAAGCAAAAGTTCCTGAACTGCAGGCTGCCTACCAATGCGAACTTATGTTCAAAGAGTACAGTTTTCATTTGCGTGAAATTCGCCAGATTTCAATGTCGAAAGGATCATCTTCAAAAACTAAAGTAGCCTAGTGTTTGCACCATATGCTGTCTCATACCTCTTCAGTTTTCTTGTTTCCGCACCATTTGCTATCAGAAGCTTAGTTTTTGAACCATTTCCTGTCACATTCTTGGTGTTTGGTTGCATGAAGATCATCCCAAGTAAAAGTAGATTATGATAGTTCGAAGCCTTTGGGGTGGTCATTTGACTATTTATATGAAGGTGTTTGACTACATGAAGTTAAGAAAGAAAGAAAGACTTTTGAAAATTATGGTATAACATATGCCACACTTTTGGATATATACTCATGTCATTTAAAGTAATATAAAAAGTTTATTCTTTATAATTAAAATGTATATTAAATTGTTTAATCAATTTAAATATTGTTAAAACAAAAGGAAAAATGATATCTTGTATAACTTTTTTAGTTTCCAAAATGCTTGGTGAACATGCTATTAACCAAAACTGTAATAAGTCCTAGAAATGGAAAACTTTCTTAGTTTGCCATTTATCTAAACTTTGGGCAAAAGTAGCGGTTTTTTGAAACTGAAAAGGTTCTAGATGCTAAATTTTAAATATTGCGTCTTCGTCGGTAAAATGGGCATCTACTGCTCACTTTGTTCGCCACTCTCACCTGGAGTTGCAGGTATGTGATCTTCACTCCTTCCTATGTTTATTTATTTTTTTCTTTTTCAAAAATTCTAAACACGGAAATGCTTCGCTGTTATATTTTGTGTACATTGGATTTATATAATAGAGGAAACAACAGGAACTATACGCTATAATTGGGTGATTATCTGGTTCTTGAACTTAAGTCTCATATTGTAACTTGTTTTATTTAAATTCCTTTTCCTAAGCAACCCTTTTTTACTGTTCTTCGTCCCTTTTGTTTTCTGTCTATTTGTTGTTCCTTTCTTTATTGGAGCTTCGGGTAATTCTGAAGTGTGTGTGTACAAAAGGGAAATTGCATAACCCATCTTTAGTTCATTATATTTTTTTTCCTTCTCCTCGCAAATAGAAGGTAAGATGAAAGCCTAATTATTCTATAAAATTTCATGCTTTTTCAAAAAAATTATATTTTTAGTTCACCTTTGGATTGATTCTTATCTTAAAGAGAAATTGAGGGTATGAGTTGTTATATGATATTGGACAAACCTCACCTCATGAGCTATCTTTTGAGTTTGAATTAGGTCCGAGGTCTATTTTTCTCAATATGGTATCAAGCCAAACCAGAGGCGGATTCAAGATTTGGAGCTTTCCGGGTGCCATAAAGATTTGAACGTCTATGTGTTGTTGTTTATACATTTAGAAAGAGCAAATATTTTATCGGTTTGAGCAACTTTGGACTTCAATTCGGATTATTTGTTTTTTTGATATGTAATATAAATCGATTGAACGGAAAAATATAGTACTATAGTTATGATAGAGCAAAGATTTTGCAAAAGAAGATGTTATTTTAACTTTGTGTGGAAAAAGGTAAATACTTAACTAATAAGAGACGGAAAAAGAAAGTCACAAGTTAACAAATAAAGTAAGGTAGTTAATATTAATTACAGAAGAAGAAAAAAGAGAATGGAATATATAATGATAGAAAATTTAACATGATGTAGCAAGCCAAAAGGTTAAAAAATGTTACTGTTGCCAATGGGGTTCAATAATTCACCACCAAGATGGAATCTCCTACCTTTTGCCATCGGCACCTTTGTATCATTTGTTACGAGGGGTGGCGCTTTAAGTATATAAATGATTTCTTACACACACACATATATATATATATATACACTCCCTCCGTTCCAATTTATGTGAACCTATTTGACTATATACGGAGTTTAAGAAAAAATAAATACTTTTCGAATTTGTGGTCCTAAACAATTCAGAAGGGCCCCAGAGTATTTGTGTGGTTATAAAAACTTTTCATTAAGGTTAGAATTGTAAATTTAAGCTAAATTGTTACCAAATTTAGACAGGGGTCATTCTTTTTGGAACGGACCAAAAAGGAAATAGGTTCACATAAAATGGAACAGAGGGAATGTGTGTGTGTGTATATATATATATATATATATATACAGAATCTCGACCGAAGATTGCGGGTGGCATACCACCCCCTCGGGCGTCACTAGATCCGCCCCTGAGCCCGACCCACTACGCCACTTGTGATATTGCATTGTCCAATGGTGGTGTCATATTATGTCAATATTGGTTGATAGTATGGGTTGTAGTCTCTTTACATGATCTTGGACAATAATCACTTCATGAGTTAGCTTTTGGGTTGAGTTAGGTCCATATACTTTTTCCTCAGCACTTTTCTCTTAGTACTTATAACAATAGAGTAGTCAGACAAGAATAGTCTATTTGCAACTGTAAACATGTGGAATAACTTCTTAATACTTATCCAAGTAAAAAGCTAGAAATATCTTATGATTTGGGTCTGCAAATCCCAATAATATTTGTGGAAATCTATATGGACCAAACCATAGCGAAGATTTTGAATAAAATGAGTAGGGAATGATTTCGAAGAAGGTGAATAGGAGACTTGTAGAACATGTTGCACTATTCAGCCTATTTGGTTTAAATGGACCAAACCATAGGGATGATTTTGAATAAACTGAGTAGGATATGATTTTGGTGAAGTAAATAGGAGATCTGTACCATAAAAGTTTTGGAGAGGGTGGTGGAAGGGAGGATAAGGAGGGCGTTGCCTATATCGGAAAATCAGTGTGGGTTCATGCCGGGTCGTTCTACTACGGAAGCTATCTACGTTATCAGGAGGTTGGTGGAACTATACATGGAATCAGGGATAGGAAGAGGGATTTGCATATGGTGTTTATTGACCTAGAGAAGGCATATGACAAGGTCCCTAGGGACGTCCTTTGGAGGTGTTTGGAGGTGAAAGGTGTGCCGGTGGCTTACGTTAGGGCGACAAAGGATATGTATGATGGAGCTATGACTCGGGTTAGGACTGTGGGAGGTGACTCCGAGCCTTTTCCGGTGGTTATGGGGTTACACCAAGAATCTACGCTCAGCCCGTTCTTATTTGCTCTGGCGATAGACGCGCTGACACACCAAATCCAAGGAGATGTGCCATGGTGTATGTTGTTCGCTGATGATATAGTTCTGATTGATGAGACACGAGGTGGCGTTAATGGGAGACTAGACATATGGAGGCAGGCCCTAGAGTCTAAAGGTTTCAAGTTGAGTAGGACTAAGACGGAATATGTGGAATGCAAGTTCAGCGACGTGACGGGGGAAGCGGATTTGGAAGTCAAGCTTGACTCACAGGTCATCCTCAAGAGGGAAAGTTTTAAGTACTTAGGGTCAATTATCCAGGGAGATGGGGAGATCGACAGGGATGCTACGCACCGTATTGGGGTGTGTGGATGAAATGGAGGTTAGCGTCTAGAGTCCTGTGTGACAAGAATGTGCCACCGAAACTCAAAGGTAAGTTTTATAGAGCGGTGATTAGACCGGCCATATTGTATGGAGCTGAGTGTTGGCGAGTCAAGACTTCACATATCCAGAAGATGAAAGTAGCAGAAATGAGGATGTTGAGATGGATGTGTGGGCACACTAGGCTGGATAAGATTCGGAATGAAGATATTCGGGAGAGGGTGGGCGTGGCTCCCGTGGACGACAAGACACGGGAAGCGCGACTTAGATGGTTCGGACACATGCGGAGGAGAAACCTAGATGCACCGATTAGGAGGTGTGAGCGGTTGACTTTGGTAGGTACGAGAAGAGGCAGATGTCGACCTAAGAAGTATTGGGGCGAGGTGATCAGGCAGGACATGGCGCGACTTCAAATTCGAGGACATAGCTCTTGATAGGAACATGTGGAGGTCGAGCATTAGGGTGGTAGGCTAGGGGATAGTCGAGAGTTCTTCCCTCTTTGTACCGAGTAGTCTGATAGAGTTTCGTGTAGGTTTGTTAGCGGTCTATGTTGTGTTCACCTTGTTGTTTTGCATAGTTTTGTGTTATTGTACTTTCACTCCGTCGTTGTTGTAATCTTCTTTACGACATCTTTTGTTGTTACATGCCTTTTCCCTTGTTTCTTTTCTGATATTATTGTTTCTCCTGTTGAGCTGAGAGTCTCCCGGAAACAGCCTCTCTACCCTTTTCGGGGTAGGAGTAAGATCTGCGTACACTCTACTCTAGTGGGATTTTACCGGGTATGTTATTGTTGTTGTTGTTGTAAATAGGAGATCTGCAGAACATGTTGCACTATTCAGCCTATTCGGGAAGTGGTAGTAAGGCTCTCAAAAATCTAGAGGAGGGGCAACGCAGAAAAGTTTGGAGATCAATATTCTAGAAAAATACGTTTTCAGATCATCTAAGGAGTAACATGGAATGTAGTTGGTGGAGGGAAATGGAACTACTCTTCAATGTTAAACTTTTACTTGTTTGCTAATAGGAAAATATTGCTTCCCAACATGATGATTGTTATGTCTTCGGAAGGGGTCAGTACCATAGTACTTTAGAAAGATTCCTGTTGTTGGAGCTGCGTGCAAGAATGCATGACACAGTTGGATAATAAGCTCAACAAAGATACTATAGCTAGTTTAGATATAGTTACCACTGCTTGTGGGAGACAAGATAAGCTTATCACTTCTTTGGGTGATAGATGTGGAACTTAGGTGTTTTAAGAATCTAACTAGCATTTTAGGTGGGAAGGGTAGAGAAAATAAGGCCTTATTCCAGTGAGGCCGCATGCTATAAGTTCTATCGATCCCAACCACTTTCCTATAGGAGGACTTAGCTCAGCTAGTGAGCTAATATATCAACCCCTCAAATTCCTTCCAATATTTGATATTATGACTGGTCACCACCATCCTTCAAGTGTGTTCTTGACTTGAGTAAAATCCTACGTTCAGCGAGTTCAACTCGGAGAAGAGTTACAGCACTTCTAAGGTAGAGAATTCTTATCGAAATGGGGAAGAGTGCGATTATATTGGAAAGAAGATTCACAATAGAAACAGTGTTTATTATTCCGAGGAAGCATGCAGTAGACTAACACTCCCCCTTCAATGTTTTCTTCTTTTGATTCAGACTGTGTAAAATCGATCTCGATTGGGGGCGGTAGGTGCAACATTATTTGAAGGAAAAACAAAGCACAAGGCCAGGTATATGCCTTAAGGCATGAGGTGAATTCACTTTGGGGATTGTTCTTCTTAGTGTATTAAATTGGATAAATATGATCTCTGTGTACAAAATTAATTGG